AAAGAAAGAAAGAAAGAAAGAAAGAAAGAAAGAAAGAAAGAAAGAAAAAAGAAATTCAAATCTGAACAAACAATACATATCAATACCTATGTTGCCTATTAGGTGCAAAGTTATACAGTATTTTCAGATTTCTGTAATAACTGTTTTATCCAATCCTCGGCCTGAAAATTTGCAATTGTAGATTATGTTGATAAATTGCATATACTGTGGTTATAGCCAAAAAGATGTGCAGTCTTAATACAAAGCAGTTGATCTAGAATCAGAAACCAATAAACCAACTAATCTCAGCTCTCAATGCAACAATAGCAGGAAATGACCAAATCACATAGGTCACTATTCCAATTTCAGAATAACATTTCTAACAGCAGGGTGATTATCACCAACCCTATTAAATAACCTCTGAAGTCTCCAGCATGAAAGAAACTTTTAATTGTATTGAGCTCATTTTGAAGTCAGCGGAAACTGATTTCATGTTGTGTATTGATTTTCTACTGTTCTGATGAGTTTGCTAAAAAATGAATAGCTAATATTAATTTCTTCAGTTTCCAGGAAAGAATGGGTTAAGAAGTAGAAATAATTCCTCCAGAATATTTCTTTACCATGGAGGTAGAGTAACATTTATGTCTAAACCAAGTAAAATAAAGATGTGCTTAAGCTGAATATGTAGCCCAGAGCTAAATCAAACTCATTTGTTCATTCTACATAAGTTTTAAATTCAATTTCTGCAGAACTAAGTTGACCTAAAGAAATTACATTATGAGAGGAATAGTTATTCACTGCCTTCCGAAGACCTGATTTAACCACTACCCTACTTTTAAACTGGGATTATAATGCTTATCTTGGGTAAATAAATAAGTATTTGGTAAAGTATTTTCATATATATCTTATAGAGGCATTGAAATAAATTGCACAGAAATTAGTTGTAATCATAGTAAATGTGGTTTACTGGCATGAGATAAAGATAAACAATATTTATAGAATAGAATAGAATAGAATAGAATAGAATAGAATAGAATAGAATAGAATAGAATAGAATAGAATAGAATAGAATAGAATAGAATAGAATTCTTTATTGGCCAAGTGTGATTGGACACATGAGGAATTTGTCTCTGGTGCATAAGCTCTCAGTGTACATACAAGCAACAAAGTGATAAATCATACATCACAATCATAATTCTATAAGATACAACCAACAAAATGATAGTCATAGGAGTAGGAGTAGGTAATAGGAAAGATGAGAAGTATAATATTAATACAGCTGGTTTTGAATATACCATTCAAAATAAAAAATAAAAAAGCTAAGATCATAACAAAAAAAACTAGAACACTCCAGCATCCAATACCCAGATGAGCAAGGATAAATACCAGGCAAATTATCAGAAAATAATACTCTAATCTCGAATTACCACTACCAACACTAGCAGGACAAGCTACTGTCTATAAACAGAGAGCAAGTTGCCAAACTCACTAGCATTAATGAAGTTACCTAGCTGGGTAATGAAACATATGTAAGCAAATAGCAGTATTCCAGTATTTGAGAGGCTGCCATAAAGAGGAGGAGATCAACTTATTTTCCAAAGCACAAGAGGACAGGATAAGAAATAATGGGTAGAAACTGATCAAGGAGAGAAGCAATCTGGAATTAAGGAGAAACTTTCTAAGAGTGAGGACAATTAACC